AAATATTTTAAGATCGAAAAAAGTAATTGTTGAAAAAACTGCTAAACGATCAGGTAGGATTTCCTTCGCAACGGATTTTTAAACTATGAAATAGCTGGAATAAGATGCGGTAAACCATTTCATTAGGCATTTTCGTTTGACTTCTTTTTGATTGAGGATAGGTGTGTCCTGTAATCAATTTATTTTTGGACGAAATTTCACTTTTGGTTTTTTTAATGAAATGTTTTAATGTTTTTTACGATGAAACATTTTTTTCTGCATTGTTTTCAATAAATAAATATATTTATACAATGCATTGTATGCCTGTTCTCAAAAACACTAAAAACTGGAAACAGTCTGTTTCTTCCGGTCCTGTTTTTAAATTTACAAATATTTTGTCTTAAATCTCATGACTCAATTATTAAAGGTTTTGTAAGTAGTTTTTTTCTAAAATTTAGCACTCCCACCCACAGGGATGGTTTATGGAGGCAGGAGAAAAAGGGGAAGAATTCAATCACACTTCCTAAAATGGGAGCTAAATTCCATAAAAAGGTGTGGATAATAGTGAATGGTGGTATTTTAAAACAAAAACGAAGCTTATTTACATCGAATATAACCCCCGATTGTTATTAAAAATAAATATTTCTATGTATATACCAAACTTGCGTACGTCAGATGGCGCATAACTTGAGAATGGATGGTCCACTTTCAGCTTTTTTTGTTGCATTTGTTTGCCAGATGATGGATGTGAAGAAGATATTTGGTTGTGGAAAATATGCAATATTTATTAAACAAAAAAAAAACGACAAATAAAAAAATTTGGAGCTTACGTTTCTTTCGCGGTTATGGTTCGATTGTTTCGAATATGGTAATTCGAATTCTTTGATGTCGCACTTTAAATGTTCTAAGGAGATTATACAACTGTCAGAATATTAACCATTCGCCGGGTTGCACGAAAAAACAATTTGAATGACTAAAAAGATCAAAATATAAAAAAATTTCAAAATATTCGCCATAAAAAGACGTTTGCATTGTTCAACTTAGCATTCTACTTTCAACTAATCGCTTTCAACAAAGTTGGTCGCCAGCCAACATTCGCCTCGTGCGTATACCTTTTAAGTGTGCAATTACATCGCGCCATTGAAAAAACCGAGCTGTCGTGTGACGTTTGGGCCTATGGAAGCGGTTTGGCAATTTTATGTTGCGTAAAACTCTCATTCGGAGACACCAGGATTGTGTTGTGGAGGACAATACCTAAATACCTTCGTTAGCTCATTTATCAAAACCATTGCACGGTTTTCTTTATAGGGACTTGGCAGAATCAAGAGGTCTCCACGAATACCGACAAATACATTTCGGCATTTAAGCGAATTTCGTCTCTTTAGCCTACATTGAATTTCTGTAGTCCAACGATTCTCACCCATTTTGTCTTGTTGGCGCCAGCGAATGAAGAACAAACATTTCTACAAATTTAAAAAGTAAAAATTTCACTACTAACAATTTAAAAATGTTCTTAAAACTTGCAAAGAAATTTGGAAAAGAAATATCACTGGTTTTGTTTTTAGGAGTAGGGTGGGAAAGTCATTGATAAAATTAGAGCGAGAGAAAGTTTTTCTTACAAAACCTTTCATTATTGAATCATGTTAAAATCTAACCCATGCGGTTGGAAAAACTCCAAAAATGTGTTTGATGCATATTATCATTTATATTCTCATAATTATTTGTCCTATTTCAAAACAAAAATGGTCTACAGGTGACTTTTGGTGTAAAAATATGACCATCGAAGGGTTAAATGCCAAGGTGGGCAACGAAGGGATCTTTGGCGCAGGTGTCGAAAAATTCAGCCTCCACATAGAAACGGCGGGCTGAGACTGATCGACCTCGCCGGGGCCCGAAACTTGGCAGTATGTAGTACTGGGTTCTAGCCAAAAAAGATCCATCAAGCTACATGGGTGTCTCCAGATCGAACGGGAAACCAAATCGAGCATGTGGTGACGGAAGGCATGCTTCCAGTGTTTTAGATGTACATACGTACACTCCGAGGGCCAAACATCGACTCGCACCACTATATTGATGCAGCCAATATACGACCCCACCTCGGTGCAGCAAAAAAAGGGCCCCCAACAATGCGAGGAAAGGTCAACGTCGAAAAACTGCAATCAAAACAGACGGCCAATGGATTCGCCGCTCGACTCTCACAACCTGCCGTGAAAGAGCACTCTTCAACAAACCGGCATACGCGAGCGGTGGAACCACATTTCTCGCTCACTACTGGTACGATGAGGAGTGTCAAGAAGCTGCAGAGAAAAATGCTGGAAATGCTGGCCGACAGAAAAAACACCCGACATTTTTTGCAGAGAGTTGAGCGACTTACGGAAGGTTACAAGACTCATGTAGGAACAACCATGGCGACCTAGTGACCGATGTGCAGAGCGTACTCAAATTATGGAGGGAATTGATTCGATATCCCTGCGCCCGACTATGACGAGGTACGAATAGCGATTATGCTGATGAAAAGTTACAAAGCTGTTTGAGCTGACAATTACGATGGCAGGAGCCAACAAGGTGCATGAGCGACGACTGCAATTCAAATGCGCTCTGCCCAATCCACAAGAAAGGCGACCCCGCCATGCGTGTCAACTACCGCGGAATCAGCCTTCTAAGCATAGGTTGTAGGGTCTTATCGAATGCATTGTGTGGAAGACTGAATACCACCGTCAATGAACTGATTGGGTCTCATTAGTGTGGTTTTAGACCTGGCAAATCCACCATAGACCAGGAATTCACAATACGCCAAATCTTGGAAAAGACCCGCGAGAAAAGGATCGACACTCACCACCTATTTGTCGACTTTAAAGCCGCCTTCGCAGCACTAAAAGGAGTTGCCTATACTCCGCTCTGTCTGAATTTGTCATCCCCTGAAAACTGATACGGGTGTGTAAAATGAGCACATTTAACTGATGAAAACGTATATTGTTTTTAAATTGGATGTTTACATAAATCTTATAGTAGCTTTCAGTTAATTTTGAGCTTTTTTGCAGTTTTTATACCGCTAAATAGCACATAAATTACGTAATTCATGTAGACATATTAATATTTCGTTCAATATTTTGTTTAAAATACCAGACATCCTGCAAATACATTAGAATACACAAAAGGGATTTCACTACCAATTGCCTACTTTGCGTACTTTTCTACTACCATTTTCGAACCAAGGGATTTCATTCTTCCCCCTCCGTCCTTCGTGAATACAACCTTTTGTAAGGGAGTGTCAAACCGCGGCTGTCAATAATTATCTAACCTTGTATTATTGAATCATGGTTGAGCACTACCACCAACTCTGCTTGAATTGGGGAAGACCTCGGAGCCGTTCGCCACGAAACGGGGTTTCAGACAGGGCGACTTCCTTTCCTGTGACTTCTTTAACCTGATTTTGCAGAAGATAATAGAGCTGCAGAGCTTAACCGCTCAGGAGCAATGTACTACAAGAGCGTACAATTGCCGGCTTATGCAGATGACACTGACATCATCGGTAAGAAAAACCGCGAAGTCTGTTCTGCCTTTTCCAAGTTGGGCAAGGAAGGAAAGCGAATGGGTCTGGTGGTAAACGAGGACAAGACGAAGTATCTCCTGTTATTAAACAAATAATCAGCACATTCGCACCTTGGCACCCACGTCACTGTTGACAGTTATAATTTCGAGAAAGTAGAGAATTTTGTTTACTTGGGAACCAGCATTAACACTGATAATAAGGTCAGCATGGAATCCAACGCAGAATCACTCTTGCGCAAACAAGTACTACTTCAGGAGTAAAGTCCTAAAGTCGAGGTACGAAAACCACAATCTATAAGTCACTCATCATGCCCGTGCTGGTAAAAGGCGCAGAAGCATGAACAATGAGAACTTCCTATGAGGTGGCCCTTAGAGTATTCGAGAGAAGGATTTTGCGGAAGATTTACGGGCCTTTACTGTTGGCGACGGCAGACGATAGAACGATGAGCTGTATGAGCTTTACAACGACATGGACATAATGCAGCGAATTAAAATACAGCGGCTCACTGGCTTGACCATATCGTTCGGACGGACACCGACGCTCCAGCTTTGAAAGTATTCTGGCTTCATTTGGCATTTCCAATTGGCGTCAGTTGGCACAGAAGAGAAACGACCGGCGTGCTTTGTTAACCTCGGCCAAAATCGCTTTGGCGGCCAAATAAGAAGAAGAAGAAGAGAATAGAAGTATAACCTTATCAATCACAAATGTTATAATCCCGACGAAATCCTTGGCGGTGGTACCGGGAGGCGAACGGTACATGACGGTAGGAAGTTTAGTTTAGGTTAAAGTCTCACACTGACGGGGTTAGGCTTTCGATGCTTCCTCCTTGTAAAATAAACATGCGCAGTAAAAAGTTAACTATTTAAATCGACGAATA